AGATAGCGTATATTTTCGTTTATTTCGATTCCAAATTACATTTCAAACATTTAGATGCATGGATGGATATATTAGTTAAATTTTACTTCATCGAAGTCAATATTTGATATTATTTTCATATTTACATCTAAAGTCTCTTAAAAGTGCTGTAATCACTTTATTTTACATGATAATTTATGAAAAAAATTAGATTAACTAAGTTATTTCTTTAATTTCAACAAGCTTAATTTTATTACACATGCCTAAATTAGCTATTCCAAATTCTATTAATTTTTTATATTATTTTTGAACTATTCAGTCGCACAAAAAAATGGTTTGCTCTAGGTGCGGTTTCGGTGGTGCGTCTGGCAGCTGCGGCTCGCGACTGCGACTGAGCGCAGCTGCTAGTCGCGCGGAGTGGGTGTTTACAGTGGAGCGTTTAGAAAAGCGCGACTCACTTGTTAAGGTGCGGTTTCGGTGGTGCGTCTGGCGACTGCGACTAGCGACTGCGACTGGTCGCAAATTACTTAATGCTTTAATGCATATTAGATGCACGTGGCAACTGTGAGGCGTTCAAGCCGCGAACGCTGGCGATCGAGTCGCGACGTCGGCGACTCGACTGCCTATGGGACCAGTCTAGCCGCAGTTGCAGTGAAGAAATGGCGCGTTTTTCTCATGAAGATGAAATATTAGTAGAAGAACTTCCAAAATATCTCTTTCTTTTTAATTATGAAGTACTCCCCAAAATATTTAGGATTTAATCGACGAAAAAATGCCTAAACTTTATTTCATCTTCCTTTAAATGAGCATTAATAAAGAAATTTAAATATCTTTCCCTCTTACGTTGTTTGTATATATTATGGCCGTCACACCTCTTGTGCAATAAGGTTTGTTTTAACAACTGTTCTTCATAATCTTCTTAGATTAAATATATAAGATCTTTCTCATTCATTTTCCCTATTTAAAACAAATAAATAAAATAATGAGAACCTATTATATTAACCACCGGACGTAGACTAACATGTGAGTCACGCTTTTCTAGACGCTCCACTGTAAATACCCACCCCGCGCGACTAGCAGCTGCGTTCAGTCGGAAACCGAAACCGCACCTTTTTAATATATACAAACAACGTAAGAGGGAAGGATATTTCAATCTCCTTATTAATGCTCATTTAAAAGAAGATGAAATAAATTTTAGGGAATTTTTCGTCGATTAAATCCTAAACAGTTTAATTTTGTTTGGGGAGTACTTCATAATTAAAAAGAGAGAGATATTTTGGAAGTTCTTCTACTAATATTTCAACTTCATGTGCAGAAAAACGCGCCATTTATCCACTGCGACTGCGGCTAGACTGGTCACATAGGCAGTCGAGTCGCCGACGTTGCGACTCGATCGCCAGCGTTCGCGGCTGGAACGCCTCACAGTAGCCACGTGCATCTAAAGGCCGATTTACATCAGACGATCGAATGCTCATTCTATCCCCACTGCATCAAATTCATTTAGTGTAAACAAACGTAGAACATTCTTTCATTGTTTTGTTTGCGTTCGCAAAGATTCTATGGAATATTCTAAGAATGCTTGCTCGCTTGATGTAAACGGTACTAGAGCGTGCGAACAGATGCTTAGAGAGTTATTGCCTGTTCGGACGTGCTCGCTCCCCGGAGCGGTCTCTTCAAGTGTTCTTGTGTTCGAGCATTCGCTCGGCTGATCTAAATATCTATGCAAGAATTTTAGTTCTTGGTTCTCATTCTTGCTCGATGATATTTTGGTGTAAACGCTAAGAACGATCTTTCATTTACACTAAAAGATCGAGAAAGAATGCTCTTGTTCTAGCTCTAGCTCTATGTTCGTTCAGTTTAAACGCGCCTTAATATGCATTAAAGCAGTAATTTGCGACCAGTCGCTAGTCGCGGCCGCCAGACGCACCACCGAAACCGCACCTTAAGGATGACTATTAGCCACCAGAGACCGAATACACCATGGGAAATGGTTTTTCATCCATCAGCTTTTTTAAATTGCCAAAAACCTACCTTAAAATCTAAAAAGTAACTTCAAAATAGAAAAAATTTATAGCCCGGAGGCAGAGAACACCATGCAGGGTGCAGACAGAAAGCAGACAAATGAAAATGCGTAGATACTTATTTTCTAGGATAGGTATGCAACTAAATTTTTAACCACCAGATACGAATACCAAAAGCATATCCTGGACATATAAAAACAAAATTAGTTCTTGATGTACACCAGAAACCTTCTACTCCCCAAAGCTGCAAAACTTGCTACAACTTTACGTTTAGTAATTGCATGTCGAAAAAACTGACTTGGTTATAAAACACACATAAAGGCTACAGAAAATCATTACGGCGGTTTTTAATTTTACTGTTACAGTAATTACTATAGGATATTAAAAGAGATACGCGTATATATCTTTACAAAGATTTTTCGTAGATAAAAGAAAATGATACAGAAGGAAGGAATACCATGATTGCAGAATATAGACTCCCCTTTGTAGGGCGGTATCCAAAGATCCACTAAATATAAAGTAACAGATTGTGTGCCTTTAAGTAACAGATTTTGTGGGTAAAGGGATTCTGGCATCCATCTACGTATGTCAGGATATACCTGACCTGTGTTATTAGGCAAGTAAGAATTTGTCTGCTGTGTAGTGTGTACATTTGTGTGAACTTTTAGGCGATTTTAAAGTTTTAGAGGCAGGTTTCTGGTGTTTACACAAAGCCGTAGTATTTGAATAACCAAAATATGCAAAGAGATTCACGAATATGATGCGTCGACTCGTTTCCACAACTGTCCCAAGGAGAAATCTATTGAATGCAAAGTTTTGTTACTTTCTAGATTTTAAGGGTAATTTTTGGTAATGTAAAAAAGTTGGAGGGTGAAGGATGATTTCTTATGGCAAATTCAATTTCTCGACTTCCGAAATACGGATATAGGTTGGCGTAGGTTCTTACCCGTGAATCAAACCACTTTCTTGCATACCTCTCATATTTTAGTACTTTCTGCGAAATTCATTCTTATGATATTCGTTCTAAACAAATTTATGTATATAATGAGATTTTGTAGACAATTTAGCTCTCCAATCAGAAAAATAAAAAATTTGACATCCTTAATTACTATTTTTAAACCATAGAGCACATTAATTTATTTGTATACTATACAATTATAAAATAAATCATAGCTTTTTATAAATAGTATTTGTAGAGGGTAATTCACATAACACTCTACATCCCTTTTCTATTTTACATTTCTACCTAGGAAAAATGGTTAAGAAAAGAGTTTTAGGAAATTTTGTTGCAATATCAAAGAAGTATATAGAAAATAATTGACTGTTGCATTTCGAAGATATAGACCGAACTGTTTGTTTTAAACCCTGTATGCTTTTTTAGAATTCACTCATTTTCTGAACAATCAAATATGTATTTACTTTGACATTTTGTACAATATTTGGTTTATCTAGTGACAAAGTCAAGATTACCATGGAACTAATGCATATTTAATCTTGTCTACTATTAAATTTACGAAACAGATTTTAGAATATTTTATTATGAACGAAATACCATTCTATAAAAGAAGTTTTATATAACCTTATGTTTAGGCAAGGGATATTTTTTTAATACATATTTCTTATGAAGGGATAATTTTATGACCCGCAAGACTAATTCGACCTCAATGCAGGAGACTCTTTTTTTAATTTTTGTGACAAACAAACCGATTTCGACAAATTTCCTTATAAAAATTTAAGTTATTTGTCATATAGCCACAAAAAGCATTTTAGAGAACGCAAAAGTAATTTTCAAAATTTAAATAATCAACTTTTAATTAATTTTAGTAAAAACTTTGTTAAATATGTATGAATATAGGGCTTTACTTATATTACATATTACACATACACATTACTTATATTATATATTCGGATATATATTTTCCTAATAGATTTTTTCAGAAGCTGCATTTGGTACAAATATTCAACTCATTTCATAGGACGACATTTACAAACATAATTAGAATCAATCGCANACACATACACATTACTTATATTATTGTATTCGGATATATGTTTTCCTAATAGATTTTTTCAGAAACTGCATTTGGTACAAATATTCAACTCATTTCATAGGACGACATTTACAAACATAATTAGAATCAATCGCATGCCAGTATTAAAAACAACAAAAACTGTCCCCAACATCCTTGGCTGGATATATGACCTCGGATCAAGCGGGATCAAGCGGGATTATCGCTCTTTACCCAATAAGTGTCCAGTTGCAAATTACTTTCTATACATATATACTGAGGGACAGTTTCGGTCAGTTCAGTTGTCCGTTCAGTCTCAGTTTCCTTTAATTGATCAGCATTAATATTCGGAGTCTGCAATGTATTCAAGTGACAGTTGACCTTCAGTTTCATTTGTTAGTGCAGTTCAGAAAGCGGTAAGACATCAGGTTATTATGCATGTGAACTGAACTGACACCTACACGGTAGACCCGTTTACACATAGGTACTTTAAACCAACGACTGGTACAATAAATTTTAGCAAATTTATCGAGGTATGGTACGGTGTGCCGTTAAGGCCATATGCAATTAATTCAACGTGAAGCTTTTAATATAATAATTATAACCTAATGATAGTAACTTTTGAAATATGTACATAGTCATATGTGGCAAATTTAACTTTTATAAACCAATGCTTAAATAACCTGAATACTAGCGATTCAAATACTATTAATATAAAAATCAAGCAAATGCAAATAGCAAATTAACAACCCAACTTCAGATCAGTACCTGACTTCATGAGTTCTTAACTATTCCGTACTCACAACGTAACGCTGTGAAATAAAAATATAACAGACAATCTAACTCAAATTTGTGGTTATCTAATCTTTGTTCATAAATTATACACCTGCGTAGCTTAATTTCTTCTTTTATAGAGGTATGTTATAAATTTTACATAACCCCTACACACATTTGCTTAAGCTGCGCCACTTGTGCTGTTTCCCTTACTAACCTGCAATTTTTGAATCGTAGGCCACGCCAACTCCGCATATTCCATTATCTCGGGCGGCTGCTACCTCTCCTGCACATCTGGTCCCATGGCTGAAAAAAGTGTTTCGGTTTCAAGACATGGATAATTCCTGTAACTACACAATTACAACACAAATGTATAAGGAAACAATTTTATTTCCTTCTGAAATCGTATATTTTGTAAGTACCTATTAACTACGTATGCCTATACTGGATATTTCATGAAAATACTACATAACTATAAAGGCAGAATAGGGCAAACTAGGTGACTACAGAATGTAAAAAACTAAAACCTTCTGGGAAAACAAGCTGATCCGTAAATGCTCAATTAGCTTGAGCTTTTGAACAATTTGTAAAAATTACTTTCAAATGCACCATATACCACTGAAGGCGAACAAATACTTGATGTTATGAATCCATGATTTCAGGACAATACTGACATAATTTCCAATATTTGTGGAAGAAAAGAACAGTTACTTGTTGAAAGTACATGAATCAGTGACAAAAATTATGCATTTAATTTTGTTTTGGCACAACTTTTAAGTTAATAGTATAATTAACTAACTAACTAACAGGGTGTCCAAGAATAACGTGTACAACGGAAGACTACAGATTCGTGGACTCAAAATAGGCAGATCTAGGCCAATTCACCTATATCCGAAATCGCTTAGATTTGCCGCTAAATGACCTCAAAGTTCGTGAAAATTTTTTGAATTTTGTAAATAACTCGAATACCTATTAATCGATTTGGATTATTTTTGAGGTGTGGACTTTTGCTTTCAATCTACACATTTTGGTGTTATACAGAGTGTTTTTTAAACCTACAACTCCTACAAAATTGATGTATGGTCATAATATCAGTTCATAACTTTTCCTCTTTCGGGCAATAATGACAACTATTTTTTATCTTATAGGTCATACCATTTAGAAGTTTTTGGACCCTTTGTAGAATTTTGATTAAAGGAGCGGTTTGGGTACAAAAAAAATATTTTTAAATTAAAATAAATTTATTAAATCAAATTTTTTACATATTTATAAATGTCTACATTATCGTGCTAGTAGGCACTGATTTTGTAGGTTGAGTGTAATTTCAGTCTGATTTTTAAGTTATTGTGCCTGACAATTCTTAATGAGTGTTTACGACGATAAGATATGCCACCTTTTACTTCATTTTTCGATATGGATACACACATAGGACGAATTAGAGTTATTTACAGTGTGCAATTGTATTCAAATACAACGCATTGATAGCATTATTATTGTCCCTGTTAGAATTTTTGCAAAACACTTTAACCGAGTTATTGGAAGGTGTGCCGTTATTACTCAGAGCTAACATGTGGTTTATGCATGATGGAGCTCCACCACATTTCACTGTAAATGCCCAGCAGTATATTAACCAAAAATTCCCTCGTCGATGGATCGGTAGAAGGGACAATGCTTCTTTTAACTGGCCTCAAGAACTGCAAAGGGTGTCCTTTCTTCACTGAATTAATTTTTGTTATAGAAACAACGGTGATCATTTTGAACAGTTTTTATAGTTGTACTAAATTTGATAATACCTATCAACTTGTATTTGATTGTTTTTACTAATTATCTCAATAAAATTAGGCATGTTGTACATAACTCTAATTCGTCGTATGTTTGTGCATCCATATGAAGTAATATGGTAATATATCTTATCGTAGTAAATACTCATTAAGAATTGGCAGGTACAATGATTTATAAATCAAACTGAAATTACAATCAACCCACCAAATCAGTGCCTACTAGCACTTTGTTAAGTATTGTAATATGGGTGGCAAGATATTGTAGACATTTAAAAAATATTTTTTTGTACCTAAACCGCTCATTTAATACTCAAAATTCTACAAGAGTCCAAAAAACTTTCGAAAGGTATCACCTATCAGATAAAAAATTGTTGTCATTATTGCCCGAAAGAGGAAAAAGTAATGAACGGATATTATCACCACACATCAATTTTGTAGGTGTAAGTTATAAAAAACACTGTATAACACCAAAATGTGTAGATCGTAAGCAAAAGTTCACACCCCAAAAATAATCAAAATCGATTAATACCTATTCGAGTTACTTACAAAATTCAAAAAATTTTCACCAACTTTGAGGCCATCTAGCGGTCAAACGAAACGATTTCGGATATAGGTGGAATTAGTCTAAATTTGCCTATTTTAAGCCCACGAATCTGTGGTCTTCCGTTGTACACGTTATTCTGGGACACCCTGTATAATAGAATAATTTTTATACTAATTAGAATCAATTTCATGCCAGTATTACGCAACGGATTTAAAAGCAACGAAAACTATCCAGTTGCAAATTGTATACATATTGAACTGACCCTCGCACTACGTTAGACGCGCTCACTCGCTCTACAAACTGATGGACACTAGTCATTGTTCTCAATTTTTCAATCGGTTGATTAATTCCAATGCATTCAACATTTTGTAAAATAGGCGTATTTAAACCCTTAAAACTTTGTAAACCATGTAAAACCTTGTGTAAAACCATCCTGTCCTCCAACGGAAAAGCAACCCTTCAATGGTGTAAGTACTTGTTTTATATAATAAATGTTGATTTGCCAAGTGAGTTGACCCGAGAAGATGCAAGGTGCTGGTGTTTAGGAGGCACCAGGCGTCCCCTATAGTAAACGTGACAAAATAGTGTGCCATATCGCAATGCTCGATACTGCTTTTTTTTACAAGACGCCTGAGTTAAATAAGGTCCTCATCTAATGACACTCGGCACCTAATAAGACCCACATTTTGAAAATTCAGCTAAACGACTTTCAGTTGCAAAACGACATAAGATAGGTATAATAAAAATCTATGAATCGTGGCTTCTACTAAATATCTGGGGGCCTTCAATACGCTAAACTGACAGAGAGCGACCTACTATTTCGCAAATATGCAAAACAACTTGTAACTGATGTTGTTTTAGGAAGAAACTACTCTGCGGATTAATGTCTCGACCAGTATTAAATTACATCCTTAAAATCTAATCTAACAGTTTAGGATTATTTGTCAGCAGAATGACGGGACATACAGGGGGGCCAAATGAAAACGAAACAGAGCCATTTTCAGGAACTGCGTCAAGATTGTAGAAAAACGCTCAGACCCGTCGATTTTAGATTAAAAGGGGGACATTCTTTGCTGGTATTTTTTACTCCGCCACTTTCACCCCCAAGCAAGGGTAAGCATAACCCCAAAATATTTAAATGGCATTGGGGGTTGAGTAATATTTCTTTTGAAATCTCTTACAATTCTCTTTACAACAGACTTTAAATTTTATAATTCCGCCCAATACTTATTAAGAATTTTGATTTTAAAGTTGAAACTTATGTACAAACAATTAGTAACGGTAAAAATGTCAGTCATTCGAGTTAAGTACGCCAATGGTATAAATTTAGTATTTCTTGCGTTACATTGGTTTTTGGCGATTTGTTATCACTTTCGTAAAAAAAAACAATTGTAAAAAACAGAAATGAATGCTATACACACACAATGAACGTAAAATTAGTGGATTCCAAATTATTTTCTAGTATTATTTGGAAGCGTTGGTTGGTAGTTTATTTAATTGTGTTTTTGAAAATTAAACACTATGGTTTATTCCATTGCGGAAAGGGTAGATATCATTTCGCTTTACTTTATGAACAATAAATGTGCGAATAGAACAGCTCAGCTATTTAATGAACAACATCAAGATCGACATGTCAGGAGGAAGTATGTTCTAGAGTTAGTAAAAAAATTTCAAGAGACAGGGAACGTAGCCAATAAAAAACGAGAAATTGAAAAACCTATAGTTAATGAAGCTAGTGAAGTTGCAGTTTTGGGACAAGTTCATCTTGATCCTACATTAAGTACGAGGCAGCTGGCATCTGTGTCTGGGATCAATCGAACTAGCATACAAACCATTTTGAAGAAGAATAAATTCCATCCATACAAAATACATTTAGTCCAGGAACTTCATGAGGATGATTATGACCGCCGTTTGCAATTTTGCGAAATAATGAGTGAGCGAGCAGGGAACGATCCACAGTTCCTTTTTAACATCTGTTTTTCTGATGAATGCAGTTTTTTCTTGAACGGGACGGTAAATCGTCACAATTGCCGCTATTGGTCCGATTCAAATCCCAGAGTTTTTCACGAGGTGCATACACAGTAACCGGAAAAATTAAATGTATGGCCTAGAATTTTCGGTGACCGGCTGGTGGGTCCTTTTTTTCTACCTGGTAATTTGACTGGCCAAATGTATTTGCAATTACTGGAAGACGCTATTGACCCTGCCTTGACTGATTTTGTTGAAAATGTTCCAGAGTATGATGAAGATCATTTGATTTTTCAACAGGCCGATGCTCCTCCGCATTATGCGTTAATTGTCCGTCAGTATTTGGACCAACGATTTCTACGGAATTGAATTGGGAGAAGAGGGAGCATTAAGTGGCCTCCACGATCACCGGATTTATCGCCCTTTGATCTTTTTGTGGGGATACCTAAAAAGTAAAATCTATGAAACACAGCCAGCGTCGCTGGAAGATTTGCGTGAAAGGATCGTCGACGAATGCCGTCGAATCACTCCATAAATGCTTCGGAATGTGCGCGAACGTTTCGAACAAAATCTTTAGTCTTGTATGGAAGCGGGCAGTCATCAGTTTGAACATTTAATCAACTAAGTAGTAAGTAAGCAACTAAACATAATTTAAATTTTAAAATGTAAATTTTTTTCAAAGTATTGGGCGGAATTATAAAATTTAAAGTCTGTTGTAAAGAGAATTGTAAGAGCTTCCAAAATAAATATTACTCAACCCCCAATGCCATTTAAATATTTTGGGGTAATGCTTACCCTTGCTTGGGTGTAAAAGTGGCGGAGTCAAAAATACCAGCAAAGAATGTCCCCCTTTAATCTAAAATCGACGGTTCTGAGCGTTTTTCTACAATCTTGACGCAGTTCTTGAAAATGGCTCTGTTTCGTTTTCAGTTGGCCACACTGTATAACGGTTCCATCTTTATGTCATAGGTGAGCACAAAGCAAAGATGATATTAGCAGTATTTACAAAACAC